TACACATAAAAGAAAGCATCAAGTTATTTAAAAGAGATATAACAGGTTACTCAGATTCTATGACTACTTCAAGGCTTTATATCTTTTTACCCATTAATTCTCTGTAGATGTGGCAAAGAAAACATTAATTGTTCATAAAGAATCATAAAAACTATAACATATCTCAAATTGGAGCAATAAACCAGCTAAACTTTTCATACGAAATGTATGGATTTTATTTATATAAGTGTAAGCATATTTCACTTTTATTTCTTTTATGGAAAACTCTACAATACTTTGTAAAAATAAGCTCTTCATATTTATTAAGCTAAGGCCTGATTGCATCAATGTTACTTTGACTTTAAACGAGGTTTAAAACTCTCTCTGTCTTAAAGCGAAAGAGAAACAGAAACAGAGAGAGTTTTAAGCCTCGCTTAAAGTCAAAGTAACATTGGTGCAACTAGACCTAAGAGATTTACACATAAGAAAAAAAGAACAATATATATAAAAGCACACTATTATTATCCCATAATTAAAATTTTTTTGCTTTATACCAGCTATACTTTACAGCAAATTATAAATAATATTGAAGACATAAGCGCTATTGTAGAAATTGTATTGAGAAAAGTGAAAGCATGTAAACAAAAGATAAAAATTGTTAAATGTAAATGGATTAATGAATGTTTCCGAAATGGACAAATATGTGAAATTAATGATTACTTAATTAAGTATTAATAAATGTATATTGCTATATCAAAGTAAACATATATCAAAAGTTATTATATCTTAGACTGAAATTAAAAAGAAAACTGTACTACATTGCTCCATACAATACATTCAAAATTGCACTGTAACGTATAAATGAGAGATACGAACTGAACATATTATACTTTTAATTTCTTTTCTGGTACAATATAAGTCGCGATATTGGATAAAACATCTTTTAGATAACTTAAGGATGTGTTTTGGAATTCTATAAGATGTCTTTAAAGATATGTTCAAAATATCTTTAAGATATCTTTAGGTACCTGAAAAATATCTTGCTAAACTGTTGCATAAGACATTTTTTAAGTTCCTAAAAGTTATCTTTTTGTAAAAAATGCAAGATATCGCAAGATGTGGTTAGATATCCTTAAGAAATCTAAAAGTCTTCTTTTATTATCTGAGAGGCTTTATTACTTCATTTTGAGGAAGGAGAAGGATTGATGTACGAACCTGGCATTGCAAATTAATTATAAAACAGTTGTAAGTTTCGAAAAAATGTTATTTTTCTCTATCAAAAAATTACGCGTTTTTCTCGAAACGACAATTTTCGAATGGCGTGAAATGTAGCTCAAACAATTTTTAAACAACGAATTTCTCCTTGCGTACATATATTCTATGCATCTTTTCTCTCTCTCTCTCTCTCCCTCCCTCCCTCTCTCTCTCTCTCTCTCTCTCTCTCTCTCTCTCTCTCTTTCTTCACAACACGAACCTATTTTTACATAAATGTTTTTGAAATAAATAATTGTTTTTTTTAAGTATTATTTATTTTAAAACGCAGCTTTTTTTAAATGTCACTATTTTTTATTTTTATCTTTTTTAACTTAAAAATATGTTCATGTTGAGCGTATATATTCATTAACTAACATTTCCATTTTGAATGTTTCATTTCAGATAAAAACAATCTCTACACTCCATAGCACAAAACACCTTTTTTTTTAATAGATATATATATATTATAGAAATAAAATTTTTTTTCAAATCTACAATTAATAAAATACACTGAAAATTTCAAAAAAATTGATTCAATACAATAAATAGATTGATTTTTCATAATAAATTCCTTAAAATCGATGAATTTTTAGTTATTTATTTGAGTTTCTCCTCTTAAGAAATCATTTTAAGTAGAAAATATTAAGCTGTGCAATACAATTAAAAAAACTTGCAGAAAAAATTTGTTTTAGCCGTGCACATCAAGTTTATTCTTCAATTCTACAAGGTTTAATTTATATTAGCGCCATTCGTAAAATATTTATAAAATTTTTGCAGAGAAATATGATTCGAAGCATTCGAAAGTTATGTCTTAAGCTTTAAAACGTTTTACCAAACATTGTTTCGCGATCATTTTTCACAGAGATCCATGAATTTTAATTTTGATCTTTTTTAATACCGATTTTAAATAATCTTAATTGTTTGTTCAAAAATAGGTGAACTTCAAATAGAGGAATTCCATCAAAAATGGTTATAATTTAAATTTGTAAGAAAACATTTTAAAGCTTGAAATCTCTATTTTCGAAATCGGTAATTGATATTTTGATATGACTGATTTTTACGGAGCTATACAAATAGAAATGGATATCCGTCAAATTTGAAAAATTTATACAAACTTTACAAAAGTCTATGGTATGAACTAAAAATCGCAATCAAATGTAGTTTACAACAGTCAAAAGAGTAAATCGTTATCTTCAATTTTCTTTTTTATTGAATGTTGTATTGTACGATTTTTTTTCATCAAATTATTCAATATCAAAGTAAAAGGGATCATTTTTGCTTCAATGTTGAATAACTCGTTGAAAAAAATGATACAATATTTAATAAAAAATTGAAGGTAAAGATTCCCTCTTTCGGCTGCTGTAAACTGAATTTGTATGTGATTTTTATTTTATGCTATAGACCTTTGTAAAGTTTATACAAAATTTTTTAGATTTGACGGCTATCCATTTCTGTTCGTATAGCCTCGTAAAAAATCAATCTGATCGAAATATCAATTATTGATCTTGAAAGTAGATATTTCAAGCTTTAAAATGCTTTTTTTTTTAATGTTGTTATGATCATTTTCGAAGTTACATTCTTTTGAATATTTATCTATTTTTGAGGGCGGATTAGATGATCCTTCAATTTTTTTTGCATAGAGTATAATGTATAATTTCATAAATCTATTTTATAAGTTGTCAGAAATGTTCCTAAAAAAAATGTTTACTTTGTAACCTTATGTTAACTCACGTATAAAAATAAATACAATATAAATAAGAAATAAGATCCATGTAAATGTACAACATACATATGGTAGAAAGTGCCAAGGATTGATCAAAGTTAGATATCATGAATACAATATATATTCTTAATTTTTTAAATTTAATTATTTCAAATAAACACAATATTTAACATAAACAAAAAATAAAATTATAATAATAAGACTTAATAAAATTAAATAATAATAACGAGGGTTACGAGCCTAACAAATATTTTACAATTTTAATGACATGTAATAATAGTATATGCAATAATAAAAACAGACATATATTTCGACCGAATTCATCATTATCAAATCATTATCAAATGAATCATTATCAATGTTAATTGAAAATTTTTAATTTAATACAATAATAGTCAGTTATTTAATATTAGACATTAGTTATAAATTTTGACGAAATTATAGATGTTAGATGTTCTTAGTAGAATCAGAAACACATAACAAGATAATACAAAAACAGACAGACTTAGTAAAAATTCATTATAATAGTAGATTTTCATTATCATGAGTATTATTAGAGACATTATACAATATTCATATAATAAAATTCTATTGGAAAATGTAGTCATATAAATATAAATATATATATAAATTGATATCATATAATGTATAATTAATTGACAATTTTTTAAAATAACATGGTTAGAATGAAAACAATAAATTATTCATATAAATATACTTTGATAAATGTGAGTCAATCAATTAATGTAGTCAATCCAATATTGTGTGAGTCAGTATTTCTTTATATAAAAAAAAAGACACAAGTAATGAGAGATACATCCTGAATTTAAATGTCTAAACTTTAGAAATGTGCAGAAGATTGATAAACTAAGAAAAAAGTCCTGTAGAGATATGTTCGTTTTTGCTTCGTTTTGGAGAAAATCACAAAAAAGATAAAACGTAGTTGCTTCGTTCTTGTATTGCTTCTGAAATATTATCGTCGTTGAAATCATGCACGAAAACAATAATAATTCCGTTTTCAGGTGAAAATTTTCTTTGTTCGTTTACATTTTTGCAGTTCTCCTATAAATTCGTCAGTTACTCATCAGAAGCTATCGAATGAATTACTTCTGTCACAATATGTCGCGTATATATTCTAACGTTGAATATACTGACATGATTTTCGTGTATGGTTTTTGTGACAATAATGCTACGGAGGCGGTGCGAGAGTATGTACGTCGATTTCCAAACAGAAGAGTGCTGGATGGGCAAGTCATTGCAATGACTTTTAATAGGCTACGAAAGACCGACTCATTTTCAATTTATCAAGATCCGTTAGAAACAAATATGCAAGTAGAAAATCGTGTCCTGCACCATTTTGATAACAATCCTGAGACCAGCATCTGGAGCAGAATCAGCATCTTTGGCGCCCTAAGCAAGATTTTAAAAAACGGAAGCTTTATTATCTCTCATTCATATAATATATAATAATAACAAAATTTTGAATATAATTAATTCACATAAAATATCAATGTATGTATTTATTTGCAAAGTGTGTCGGTGTTTGTATTATAAATTATGTATACTGAACAATTTTTTTAAATAGAATAAATTATTCTGTATTTTCATTCTGAATAAGAATGTAAAATTTAGAACTGTTCTAAATTCTACATTCTTTTTCTTCAACAATAAACTTTATAAACAAAGATTTGATACTCTAATGAGTTCTGTCTCCTACTAACGCTGATATTGTATTACAAGACCTAGAAGAACTTGCGATCAAACAACTATCTGTGAAATTGCTATTTTGTTTTCGATATGTGAATGACATCATTTTAGCGGCTCCATCTGATAGTATCAATGACATATTTAATATTTTTAGTTCGTTACACATGAGATTACAATCCACAATGAAAGTGACAATGGGAAATTGAATTTTCTTGATACAACTATTATTATAGAAAATCAGACTATCATTTTTAACACGTATCAGATACGTTTTTACATTTTTTACAAGTAATTACATTTGTAAGTGTTTTTTGCGGCCGCAATTATTTTTGTTTACCTTAGAGTATCCATAACCATTGTGAACAAGACAAACTTGCCAAGCAAAGGCACCACCAGCGATGTAGGCGGTATTATTTCAGCCAATAAAAGAAAAAATACTGTCAGCGACAGTAGTATGGAGACGGAGAGGCTGACCTAGAATAAGAAAAAGAAATTTTGTCCTAGAATGCATTATATATTTAATATTATTCTAAACAAATCACATTGTATAATCACATTTCAATTTGCAATTATAATGTTTAGTATTATTTGTAACAAAAGATCTCAAATAAAAATTAATAATTTTGTTGAAAATTACTGTTTCAAGAATAATACGATAAAAAGAGAAACAAATAAACGTTTTAAAAATGTAATTTTAATTTTGTCTGTATACTTCTATCTTTTCCATAATTTACGAAACAAGCTTTCGACTGTGAATTTATAAAGCTACAAATGTATACGAGTTACACTTTAAAAGTGCTGATTGGAGCTGATTGGAGAAGATTCTTTCTGTCTCTCAATTCTCTCACATTGATTCTATGTGCTGAGCACGTTGCACGACGTATTACAGCCGTTTCATCCTAACTTTTCTTCTTTTCCCGTATCCTCATTGCGTATCCTCGTCGATTGTTAAACGACCGGCTGACACTTTAACCTTCTTTCTCTTTTCTTTTTGCTTGCCTATCTTCCGTGAAGGAAAAACTCGGTACATCTTTCACGGTGACAAAGCGGAAGAATACATCTGAATTACGTAAGCCGGTAAGTGAATATTGGTGCTGGAAGTCGAGTGTATTTTATAAAGCGCTTGAAGACGTAACGCCGATGCGAAAAGATCCGTCGCAGATTAAACTGTAATGGCATGCGAGTTATTGTGCTATATTCCATATTCCGATCTAATCGAGCCAAATCTTTTCGTCTGCAAAATTAATTTCCGACTGCGAGTAAAGTTCCCGAAGGTATATAAAGAGAAGCGATATCGGGACAATAAGGTCGATCATGAATAAAATTGTAATCGGCGCGTGAACTATATTGTTCTATTCTGATAAGATCAATCGTCGGTTATTTCAATTTAATCGAATAAAATTCTCGCATTTTGTGGATTAATCATTGTCGTCCTTAAGAGAAATTAGATGTTTGTCAACGCATAATCGAGAAGAAATCGAGTATATTACTATAATGCAGGTTTCATTTTGATTTAATGTAATCGCAAATTTTATTTTTTAGCCTCATAAAATCGAATAAAATTTTTTAATTTTAAAAATTAATTTTTGTTTTTAAAGACTAAAATTAAATATCTTTAAATAAAAAATTTAAACTTCTTTAAGAGTTTTTCCTTACAGCAAGTTCTCTAAGAATGTTCCAAGGACATCAAGAGAACGATTACGTCCTAAAGATGTCTCCAGAAATCCCTCACGAAAACTGTTTTGCGGGATAAATTTACAAAAAGATGAAGCTCATGATGACTAATTTTTATTTTTACCTAATGAATTCTAAATCTTATAAATTCCAATCGTAAATTATATGCGATATAAAAAACAAATAATGAGTCAAATAAACGAGCCCAGTGAAAAAAATAATTTATTAAAATAGTAAAATTAATGACAGTACGTTTCAACTTCATAAAAGTCCGGTTTCATTGCAAGATTAACTTACCATTTATTTTTTTTTTCAATTTTAATTCTTAGCATTAGAAAAAGATAAAAAGTAAATTGAACCGAGATAAAAGTTAATTTGGAAATATAATAGTGTCTCGGCGCTAAGCCAAGCGTAGTGACACTGTCTACTTTACGCGAGCCGGCGAATTGCGGGGGACCGAGATTATTATATCTCAATAAAGACAGAACCGATAACGTCCTACGTACGCTTAATCGATAACATACACTCGGATTTTATAGTATTTTACGTATTTTTATTTTTTCTCTACGTATCCTACGAGCAAAGATATTGCGACACAAAATATGAATCTGAAACTTTTAATGTAATGTTAATAATATAAGAAACGTCGTCATCATCGTCGCCTCTACGGAATGGGAGAAATGTCCTTTTGGAATTTTTGGCGCAAGAGACAAATGTGGCGCTAGCAATGCATGTCACATCACATGGTCAGCAAACATTGCGAGCACTGCAACGGTTCTGCACATTTTACACATTCTCTACATTCTGAAGAGATTATAAGTAAAGTTTATCGTCAAATTTCGCATTTTTTTTTCAATAATTTCTACTTTTTTAGAAAATTTGGAACTTTCCACTTTTTCAGCCAGTTGTAGTTTGTATGAAATTTAACCACAAATTTTTAGCTCATTATATCTTTTTTGAGATCGACAAACATGTTGTTTTGTGCCCAACCACAATCATAATCACATTTTCTATTCTATTAGCATGTGTGATTTTATTATGAACATTTTTATCGTTTTCGATATTGGTAAATTTATTGAGACACTTACTTCAGTAAGCATTCGATTTACTCGCGCGCGCAGCGATTCTCCGAACTGAAGAAGTATTTCAATAAATCTATCAACATGGAAAACGATAGAAATGTTCATAATGAAATCACATATGATAATAGAGTAGAAAATGCAATTATTGATGCTGAGCAAAACAAAACAACATCTTGTCATTTTCAAAAAAGATATAATAGGTTAAAAATTTGTGGTCAAATTTTATACAAATTATAACTGGCTGAAAAAGTGGAAAGTTTCAAGTTTTCTGAAAGAGCAGAGATTATTGGAAAAAAAATTGCGGAATTTAATCGTAAACTTCACTTATAATCTCTGTAGAGTGTAGAGAATGTGTAAAATATGTGCAAAACCATCGCAAAACTCTCAATGCTCGCTGATCATGTGTGATGTGACCATGCATTGTTAGTGCCACATTTGTCTCTTACTTCAAAAATTCCAAAAGAACATTTCCTTCACTCCGTAGCGGCGACGATGACGATGACGTTTCTTACATTAATATTATATTAAAAGTTTCAGATTTGTATTTTGTGTCGCAATATCTTCGCTCGTAGGGAAAAAAATAAAAGTACTATACAACCGGAATGTATGCTATCGATTAAGACATTGCGATTGGCGCGCGGTTTTCTACTTGCTGCGTTTAAAATCATCATCCGAGAGTCAGGATCATCTACCCAGATGTAATTTTATCCTTAACATTCGGTGAAATAAAATGAAATTTATAAAGATATTGATATTTTCCTATACAGTACATTTTTCAAATTATTACAATAATTATTTAAAAAATTGATGTCTTCGAAATTATAGGTCAATGGCTGAAACGGCCGGATATGTATCGTTTTTTTTGTCCAAGAATTGCTTGTAAAAAGTGCATGAAAATCCCCGACACCATCATTTGGTGTTCCCCTTGTTAGTGGACAAATTACTCTTATAAAAGATTTTCAAATATCGATCATATTACATTATTTTATATTATTTTACATTATTTTGCTTATTTCATTTCAAATTGTTCATTTATAGTTTACAAAAATATTCGAAAAAAAATGTTTTAATGTGAAGTGTAGTACTAATTAATTAATTTGTTGGGTCATAATTTTCGAACACATTTCAAAAAGAAAAATGAAAACATCTTGAAAAGAAAAATAAAAATTAAAGTTGCAAACCAAAAGTAGATTATTTATTGTTTAAAAATTATTTTACATATACAAGAAAGATTTTGATATTTCAAAATTTGTACAGGTTTTTATTATAATCATAGTCAGTATTATTTATTTTGTTTGTTGTCTTAAAATACAGGCAATGAAAAGAAAGAAGAAAAATTGGCTAATTAGGTATTTTCTACTTAATCCGTAACTAAATGATCGCACTGATATTGGTGATGAGACGTTTTGTACTGTCGATTTGTGCATCGACAACCTTCTGGGACCAACAATCATTGACATCGTTAGTGTGACGAAGAACAGAAGAAAGATTTGTATATTATTTACAAGACTTCAGAATATCAGTTATATTATATTGGTTGCGTTCAGCTGAAAAAGGAGCTGTGCAACTGATGTAAAATTCTTCATTATTATTGGGTTATACATTTCAGATCCAAGAAAGTCTAAAGGCAAGAGCCAATTATATTAAGAATCTTACAACGATTGCGAAGTTATCTTTTCTGCTGAATGTAGCCATTGTTAAATTATTTCGCTTATTTCGTTTCGGTAAATATTCGAAGAAAACAATTGTTGCAAAATTAAATAGGAAATTCAATAGGAAATGTGATATTAATTAGTGATTAATAGTGCTAGAATTTTTTAAATGACTTGTAAAATTGATGTGTTAAAGATTTTTAAAGAAACACGTCGTGAAGAAAAATTAAAATAAAACTAAAAACAAAATATTTATTTATTATTAAAGATATTACATATACATATTAAAAAATTTGGATGTTAAAATGTTCATATAAGTTCCTTTTATTATCTTATTGAACATACTTCTCTTTCAAAAGATTTTCAATTTTACATATGCAAGAAAAATTTTGATATTTCAAAATTCATGGATTTTTGTTATTACCAAAAATATATAATAAACAACATATATTTATAACAACTCTAGATTGAGACTATTTGTATTCTTATTTTTGGAAAGTCTTCTTTTATTCCAACCTCGCAAAGAAAAGTAATAATAACTTGAAAGTAATAATAACTTTTCATTAAAAATAATTTCATTGAAGGTCTTTCTATTCTGACTCAAATAATAATTGTTTAAAAAATCCCCTTCCAAAAATTATTACATAAAAATAAAAGATATGTATAAGTACTAGTCAAGTTATTAAAAAAGATCAAGTAGTAACAGCTTTAACTCTCCTTCAAAAATTATTATATAAAAATTATTATATTATAAATATCTATTTACTTAACCCTTATAGTGATGTATAAAATCCCTTCCAAAATATATTATTACTTGAATCAAAATAGAAAGAGCTTCAATGAAAATATTGAAGAAAAATGAAAGTTACTGTTCCTTTTTTTTAAAGTTGGAATAAGAAGACTTAATGTAATTCCAATACGTTTTATTTAGGTTTTATCATGTTTATATTTTATCATATATAAATAGTTTTTCCAAATTGCATATATTCTTAGCGCTTTTTTATGATTTTTTAACGAAGGTTTGTATAATTAGTTACTATTATATTACTTTTTTTGGGGGAGGAAGAGAGGTTTTACACATCATTATAAGAGATAAGTAAACTTTGTGATATAATAATTTGTATATAATAATTTTTGAAGGAGAATTAAAACAATTTATTTGAGTTAGAATAGGAACACTTTCAATGAAATTATTTTTAATGAAAAATTCAAGTTATTATTACTTTTCTTTGTGAAGTTGGAATAAAAGAAGGCTTTCAAAATACGAATACAAATAGTTTCAATCTAGAGTGGTTGTAAATATATGTTACTTATTATATTATATATTTTTGATAATAACAGAAATTCATATGAATTTTGAAATATCAAAATTTTTTTTGTATATGTAAAATTGAAAATCTTTTGAGAGAGAAGTATGTTCAATAAAAGAAACTTGTATAAACATTTTAACCCAAATTTTTACCTGTATATGTAATATCTATAATAATAAATAAATACTGCATTTTTAGTTTGGGATTTTAATTTTTCTTTACAACGCGTTTAAAAATCTTTAACACATCAATATTTTACAAGTCATTTAAATAATTCTAGCACTATTAATCACTAATTAATATCACATTTTCTATTAATTTTGCAACAACTGTTTCCCTCAATATTTATATATAAACGTAAGCGAAATAATTTAACAATAACTACATTGAGCAGAAAAGGCAATTTTGTACCAACCATTGTAAGATTTTTAATATGATTGACTCTTATCTTTAGACTTTCTTGGATCTGAATATATAACCTAATGATAATGAAGAATTTTATATCAGTTGCACAGCTCTTTTTTCAGCTGTTCTTCGTCGCACTAGCGATGTAAATAATTGTTGGTCCCAAAAGTCGATGCACAAGTTCACAGCACAAAACGTCTCACCAATATCAGTGCGATTATTTTACGGATTAAGTAGGAAATACCTAATCAGCCACATTTTTCTCCTTTCTTTTCATTGTCTGTAATTTAAAATAACAAACAATAGAAATAATGTCCACTATGATATCTGTGAGAACGCTAGTTTCTGAGGAGATTCATACTATGGTATACGCGAAATCTGAATTCGATTCTCGACCTAGGTAATATTTTTCGCAATATCTAAATCTTACATTAGCGAAATTGGATCTAAGTTATTAGCTATAATACTATTAGATATAATATTAATCATAAAAATAAATAATAAGGAAGTATAATAGACTAAATAAATAATTATAACATAAAAATAAACTGTTGAGTAAGCAAATAAAATAAATAAATAAATTTTAAAAATTCTGTTATACATCAACGAAAAAAATCAAATTTCTAATAACAAAATTTTGAATTCTTATCGCTGATTAGATATATTTCATTCTGGTCTGATCCAATAAAATTTTTGAATATATAGAAATTAATTTTTAATTATACTTCTAAAACGAAATATTTATATAGATGTATATTAAAATAGAGTATCAAACAATTCCAAATTTAACTTTATTTCTCTATTCTCTGTTCAAATTTAATTAAAATATAAAATTTTTGTTTTTCTAAAATTATTTGTTTGAATTTCTAAAATAAAATATTTAATTTCCATGAGATTATAGCAATTCGGAATAATAAGACGAACAATTTTCTCAATAAGGAAATAGGAAATAAATTATAATATTGAAATACACATAAAATATAAATATGATATAAGAGAATGAGATCAATGAATTAATTACCTTCTCTCCACTGTCGCATGGCAAATAAAACACCAATACCGTAAGGAATGATATTCCCAAGCAGGGTATTATGAGGTTAACAGTATAGAATAGAGTTTTCCTCCTCATCGTTATATAGAAAGTGATGTCAAGGTAAGGCTCGTTACAACACGTGTAAAACCTTTCATGTCTGCAATTACACATTCATATTTTACTTACACATTTATATTTTATTTAACTTTTCGCTTACAATATATTAAATATTAAAAATATACCTTCTTCGATTCAGAATTAAAATCGAAATTATTAATATTATTGCTCTCTGATTATATATGTCTTAATAAAAAATTTAATTAATGCTTATTAAATAATCGCTTAAGTATGGAAAAAAAGTCAATCTATGTCATTATCAATTTGTTAAAATTGCTGTACTAGCACAACAAGTGCAAAACCTTAATGACCTAAAAGAAAATTGAGAAAATCATTAATGCGTACCTTACAGCGGGTACTTCTAGTATGTCCCATTCGACAGAAGTATAAAACTCCGTCAGATCAAAACCAATGTCGACGACTCCATTGCTGTTTTTTACATTGCCGTTTTTGCCTTCGTCGATGTGTCGAAGATCGACCTTAACAGTAAATTTTAACAATGTTAATTTTTACAATGCATTAATATTACGTTTCTTAACATCTAATCAATCTTATATGGTAGAGAACATTTCCAGCAATATTGTTTGAATGTTGTGAAGTTGTTGCAATATTGCTGGAACGTTATTTGGTTTAACTTTTGTGTTATATAAGATCATTATATGCTCGCCTTTTTTTTATTATTATATTAAGAAAGTTTACGCGTATCATCAATCAAGTAAAATAATCGTACCCAATATGATCTATCTTCGCTGTTTGTATTTACACGATGAATTCAATAAATACTAGTACGTCGTATTTGTTACAGTAATTAGTTGTTTACATAATTTGTTTGCAGTTAATTGCTCAGTTTGGTATTCTGTTCTCAGTAAAGTCAAATGCAGAACGTTGTGATTTAATATTTCATAGGTAAATTTATTTTCTATAACTACCAAGTAATAATTATTGGAATGCTTTCCATTTAGTGATACAAATCGACACAAGCATCCCTATTGAAAAAAATCACGTCACAAAGTTACATAACGAAATGTAATTAAGACATGTAAATCGTAGCAGATTATTTCAAATTAGTGTGTGATTTCTGAAAAATCATATGATATTGAAAATAATTTCATCCATTATCTGATTTTATAGTTAAAAAGAATTTTAAAGAATTGAATAACAGAAACAAAGAAGAAAGAAAAACATATTATTATATGACTTTTTAAATTACGTATGGAGTGAAATTTTCACTCTGATAAATATTAAGTTTAGCCTCCCTACATCTAATCTAAAAATTATTAGGCTCGTTCGAAATTTTTACACAAAATGAACAAATATGGCAGAAGAAAGCATTGCTCTGTCTCGCGAAACGAGATATTAATCATTAAAATTGATTTTTTAAGTTAAGTTAAGTTAAGAGATTCCTGAAGGAGTGAAGTTTACTCCTTGCCGGACTGGCGCAACTATAACTTGCATTGGAGTGAAATTTCATTCTCAAAAATTTAGAGTGAACAATCCATTATGTGATTTACTTGTCTTAATTATATTTCTTTATGTAACTTTGTGATTTTTTTCAGGAGGGATTGTTCTATTTTTCTTGACATTTAACAACAAAGATAAAACGATACTTGTGTCAACTTGTATCACTAAATGGAAAGCATTAATTTTTGCAGTTTATAATTATTGTAGCTCTGTATTAACACTTTATAATATACTGTGTTTAATTTATATTTTGACCATCATATTTTGTTTATAACTAAAGAAAGGAAACTCTTTGTAAGGTAGAACGGAAATGGAAACTTTTTGTAGGATAGAACTCTCGGTAGAATTAATATGGTCAACTTAAATATATTGATTATACAATATATATTGATTGTGATATTTTTGTCTAATGTTATTTTAGTACTTTTGTTAATTTAAGCCATAGATTCTAATCCATTTGTTAAACATCGTGGAGATAAGTAGATAAATCAATTGTTTGGAAAATAGTTCTTTGTGTATTTATACATGTATTTATACATATACATTTATACATGTATTTATACATGTGTATTTATACATGTATTTATACAAATGCAAATATGCAAATGTTAATAAATTTATAATCTTAGAAAAGTAGTATTATATAGATAACTTTATTTTTCCAATCATTTTTTTTTTATAAAAATGATATAAGTATACATCAAACATATTAAATAATATACATATATGTGCACCAATATAACTTAAACACTACTTTTTCTTAAAATCTTCATTCATGTAGATATTTAAAAATGATATTCATATTTTTAATTAATGTTAAAAAATATTTTCTCTTTTGAATCTGGTCATTAGTTTTTAATTTTGGACTCAAATTTTGGAACAAAAATTAGCAAAAATCACAATGCTTAGGTAGGCCAAATTGAGTACAGTTTTCTTTTTGAAATTAAATCAGAACAATTAATTACAATGTGTAAAGCTTTAGCATAGGCAGAGATAGATTACATTAGCACATCAAACGAGAACACTTTTAAAATAACATTAATAATATTTAATTTAGGTCAGACCTTAATTCTCACCGTCTTATTTCTTTACCTCAACGTTCCGTCTGTCCATCATTTATATTCGATTGCACGCTTCTAACAAGCGATATTTTATTCAATAAAAATGATAACAAGCGATATATACGATCTTTTACTATAGCCTAACAGCCGGCAACAATAATACTTCCATCGTATCACGAAAGTCACTTTCAGAATATTTGTGATTGCCCTAACAAGAGATCTCTGCGAGATTTTCCTGTTGCACTAATAAATTGACTATTGAGTCGTCAAGATTAATTGAATAGTTCATCTAATAAGAACACATATCTTATAAGAAAAAGTTCTTTAAACATGGAAAAGATCTAATATTTATCAGACTCTTGATTAACGAAGAAAAAGATCACCGGAAATAAAATACAATACAATATAAATATTCTTAGCACTACACTTTCATGTACAATACTTTCTATTTGTATCAATTCTTTTTTTAAGTTACAATATAACAAATGGCTTTCCTGGAACAGTTAAATCGATTGGTCACGCGTTTGGTTAATGGAAGGCAATTTTCGAAACATCAACGAAATATCAGACAATTCTCACCTGGAAGCCGTCATAAGTCCACGAGCCAAATTTCATCATGCACGTTTGTTCATCAAAGGGAAAATATTCAACGTCGATCTCGCAGGAAGACTTATAAATAGCTGGTGGCTTCCAGTCGACCCTGCCCGTATAGTTGAGAGTCGCCTTCGTCGCCAACGTCACCTCAAAGTTACCGTCGGCGCTGTTGAACATAAATTCTTTGATATCTCATCTCGGGACAAAATAATCTTATTTGAGAAATAATAAGTAATTTCCAAAGTAATTCGCAAACCTATAATTATTTTTGTATATAAAGAATAACATCCTTCTTGTAGATTTGCTGTATAAAATATCTAATAAGATTGAGAAACCAAATTAATTTAAAGAGATCGAGTAAATAAAATAGGTTGATATAAACGTTCATCACGAAAAATACTTTACTAAAGAAATCAAAGATATAATTTCTTATAAGAAATCAAAGATATAATTTCTTATAAGAAATCAAAGATAAAATTTCTTCTGAGTTTTATAACTTTCGATCTCTGTATGGCTTTATTTAGTCAGAATTACACAGTTTTACAATTTTTATAATTCTAGTTATAAATAACAACGGTTTAAAGCATGAGCGACTTGTTTAGCAGTTATACAAGAAATTTTACTATTGAATTATTGATAAGTTTTTACTTGATTAAATGCACTTTTAAACATGGTTTCATAAAAAATTAACTTCTACTTAGCACGTATATAGTCCCAAAGAACATTCTGCATAGTTCGTCATACAAAAGAGTGTGTTCTATTATTCAGGAAACAGCTCGTTTATTTTTTAAATGTAAAAGTACGCTCCATCATGTAAAGTATGCTTATAATTTTAATCTTCAGTGTTGTCTCAAAACATGTTAAAAATTTATAATAATTAAAAATGAAGAAAAATTCGGCTTGGAAATAATTGGTAATAATAGAGATCTAAATTTTCTATTAACAGAGAGTATATATAATTTTTCGGTAATTATATAAAAAAAAACTTTCAATAATAAAATAATCACTTACGCATTCTTCTAAACATTATGTATTCGTGATACATTTACTTGTGTTTTGATCAGTAATTTATTCAAATCAACAATATTCTATGCCAATTAACGCATATTAAAGAAAGGAAAGGTAGATCTAATAGTTATCTTTCGATCAATAGTATCATCTTACTTGTTATATAAAACTATATCGGGCCTCCATATATGATCTGATGGCACATGCAGCATGTCTACTCCACCGTATTCCTTCGGATCCCATTTCAGCTTGTAATCGTGCCATGACTACGAACAAAGAATCAATGTAATATTATCGCAAATTCTTATCTTTTCTGTTATTTTGTCACTTTTACTTTTATTATGTTACTTTACGTTACTTTAGTAGTCTTTCAAAGAAAGGCAGAAAAATATCGTGTTCTTTTATAGCGTTTCTCAATAAAATCACACAGTACATCCGCCTCAGCCGTCGTCTCAGTGTCGGAATTTGCGAGCATGTTCTTTAAGAGCAGTGCACTGTCGTTGTCACAATACTGAAGCCTTAAAATGTTGTACTAGATATCAATCATACGCGCATTTTCATTTTGTAGTTAAGATAAATATTTAAGATAAATGATTTAGATAAATGTATAAACAATTTTACACATTGTCACATCCGTCAATTTATCATTCTTACATATTGAACATGTGCTTTAGCAATAATTATAGTATCGATATATATACATATATGCTGGTCCACTGTTACCGTTCATGCAATGATTTCCTTTCTCTGCTTAAAAATTTATAAAATTTTTAGAGTGGACATCACATTATCAATAATAAAAATTTGAAAACGTTCTTTTTTCGATGATAAATGAAATTACATCGTGCAACAATTTCACATTATTTATTGGACATATCCATCATTTCTTTATGTCATGTTTTTTTTTATACTTTCAATTTATGAAAACCTCATTTTTACGTCATTTGTCTTGTCTATTGTGCAAATTTTCAATAGATCAACGCTTCTATAACTGGGATAATGTCCGTCAAAAATAACGAGTCATAATGTTCGTTGCTTTAACATGTCTAATATGAAAACTTCGAGCAAGAATAATCGATAATTATAATTATATCCGTAAACCAATATATTTATACACCGAGTTATGACAGATTCTTCCTTCAGCTGTTATTTATTTTCGTTGACCAGAAAATCATGTTAGTCATTTGTTCTCTGACGCAGTATTGATTTTTTTTACTTGATTGAACCTGAATATAATAGAATTAAAAAAAATTTTAAGATTATCATTCTTGGAGTAAATACAATTATATACGTAAACATTATTTTTCATTAATTATTGTATTAAACATTGCAAGAAAATCAATTAAGTTAATAAGTTATGTTTTTCTCAAAACTGTTTTTTTTCAAAATTGGTTGTAATAATTAAAACACGTTTCAAATAAATTTAATAGGCACATTTTTAGATACGCACATACATTCTCTATTTAGTTAATTCTAAAATCTATGTTTTTTTATATAATAATTACAGTGACCTAATTTTTTGTACTAACGAGTGTTGATACCACATCATGCTATTTTTAACTTTTTGTTGGTTAAAAAATGTTTTCATTCCTAAAAAACAAATTCATATTTTTGCATGAACAATGTCGTAAATATCAATGATTGAATATATCAAAGTGAAAAAAATGTTGTTTGAAATAAAAGAGATATTGTTGTATTGAACAAAAAAATAAATAAAAAAGATATCATAAAAATATTCGCGTATTTTATGTTTTTCCATCACAATTGTAAATATAGTAGAAGTTCGTCAATGAATTTATCTATCGTATCCTAATTCATGTATTTAAAATGAGAAGCAACAAAGGATCGGGAAATCACGCTGAAGCTATTTCAAACAGTGCACAGAGGCAATATTTTGCAACTTTCCTCATTTGCTAGTTTAAGGCTGAAACGCGCAAATTTGCATACGAATTTCTTCTCCTTGTTTGTTCACATTGTTTAATTAAAACTTCACGTTTTATTAAAAAATTTCTATGCCTTTGATTTATTGAATTTTGTGGATGATATAAAGACCAATTTTTTTTTTCATAAGATTTTGATAGGATAGTACGATTAAAAAATAAGCCTAACATTGTGTGTGTGTAACAATGTATTGTGTACTAAAAAAATTTTCAAACATTTTCGTCAATGATATCTAAGTTTTATAAAGTACCTTGTGATAAATGGACCAAATTTTTATGATGAACTTTTGAACGCGATTTCGAAGTCAGTTCTTTCTCGATAAAAATGTCAAGAAAGTCATTATTCTTTCGAGTTTTTGAAAGTACAAATGTCTTACATCTTTGCAATTGTGCTTTAAATTAAGATAAAAAATCTATTCAAAGTTAAAAGTAAGAAATGTACTAATATTTTCAATTTAAAAAAAAAATAAAAACAAAAACTAAACAAGATTTTCAATCTATTTTATTTTCGATTTCTGATTATTTAAAAATTATCAGTATCCTTTTGTTAAAGATATTTTTTGAAAGAATAGAAGTAAAAAACAGTAATAAGTTCCGTCCATTATTGCGTTGGCTTGTAAAATTTCGAGTAAACTAATTGCGAACATAGTAAATTAGCTTTAGTAATTACAAATCGCTTTTACTACTGTTAATTTCCTACTTATATCACTGGAATAGAGAATGATGGATTGCTGACGCCACCGACACAGCTGGTCGTCGGAAATGCGCTTCCTTCAGGCGTGGACACAGCCTTTATGCGTAGAGCATGTTGAATATTAGCTCGAAGCCGAAGTCTCTCTCTTCGTCTACGCGTCACTATGTTTGCTAGATAGAATATTATATCGGCATATAGCTGGACATGACTCTATTCTGGGAAATTTGGCCATGTTTAACTGAACCAAAGGTAGCTTAGTTAAATAGCGAGCCATGCGCATTCTGCGAGGTAATTTATTAAATATTTATCACGAAATACGTAATCCTCGTAATCCATTTGCTCTGACACGCTACACAGTAGGGAATTAAATTTAACCACAATGGATCAAATGATTACTCGTAATACATTTTCTATTGATCTTCCATCGAATTCTTTAATGTATAACTTTCTGTAATAATTAAATGTCGCGATTTCAATTTTAATGTAATTCAAATATAACGCAAACCGTGACAAATGGTAAAATGTTTTATTAAATTCAATACATGGATCAAAGAATCGTAATGTTATTACAAGCTGATAATAGAATTACAATTGTTATAAAGTTGCATTTAAAAAGTTTAATGTAAAAAATCGCCAGATAATTTATCCGCAATGTGGACATTTTCAGCTTGCTTGTGCCAGCACCAACCGATTAATCCCGTCGATAAATAGCGGTTAAATTAACATTTTCGTACGCGAACTTTGTGATAACATTGATGCGGTGGATATTCCGAAAACTTTCGGATGGCATAGTATTAGTTCATAACTCTCCGAACTAAGAGTATACGCGAACATCATCAACGATGTGCCTGGTTTACAGCACATATTAATATTTGATGTCCTTTTACGCTGGTGAAGTTTTCACGCACGACTCGCATAAGCTAATAAGAATTATCAAATACAGAAATACGTGAATCTTCAATTTGCAAACTGTGCAAATAGATTTTAATTTTATCAACACAATCAAATTGCATAATTATTACTTTTTTCCTCTCCAATATAATTTTTATTTAACGTATCTTAATAATATAAACAAAGACTTAACAAATAAGACGTGTTAAGGAGAGGCATTTTGGCTATACAATATCAGTTAAAAGTATCAGTCAAACAATTAGTCAAAATAAACTAATATCAGTCAGTACCATTCAAAATATCAAGATGATATTATAACTTATAAATAAATTCTGAAATCAACAAGAACAAAACAACAAATAATTTTACTTACAATTGATTTTATGCAGCAAAATGACCATATTTTTCTGCAGTTTTATATTTTTCTGCAGGTCAATAACTTGTAAACGAATAAGTGATTCTAAATAAACCTCTTTCGTATAAATATTTATTATTGTTTAATCATACGTTTAAAATTTGATTTAATTTTTAATGTCACTTTCTCATCAAATTTACAAATAAGTACTATAAAACATGATTTTATATAAGAATCAAGACTAACAAAAAAATTAAATAGCTTTTAAACCAATAAGAAAATTGTGCTCATATTTACCGATATTCAGATGTAGTAATAGAACAATCTAGGAAATTTTTATATTTTTGGCAATGTTTTGATACATATTATACATCCTTAACCCTCCGCAAACCAAATAGAAAATTAACATGAATCATATGTGGATACATATCTGATACTTCATGCTATACTTTATCATAAATATACTATTATTTAGTATGATTGGTAACAACGCACTCTCCAGTTGTATGAAACCGGCACATGCGTGCACTTTTTAGAAAATTATGGAAATTTATCTTGCTGGGGTATGTCACATCCCACCTTCGTTCACGAAGAGTTAAATATTGCTAATATTTAACTTGTACTAATAACATATTTACAAGGACTTATGAAGTCAGAATAAATTGAAATTTGTAATGAAATTGTTATGTATCAATTCAAGCTTTGGTCTAAATTTCAATTTATTCTGATTTTATTTCTATTATCAATCTCGTCATCCATTCCATTTTATTTTTTGATTGTTTTCAACGATGAAATAATTAAAACTTTCAATATGTACAAATATCCGACAAGAGAAATACGATAATAAAATCTAGAACGCGTGTGTAGAAAAGTTATGCAAACAAAGTTAAAAAAATATTTGTACATATATATGATACCGAGAGGAAAGTATAATCTTTTATAACTATTCTCTGAAAATATTACAAAGAGGATTCAATATATTATGACATTATATAAAATACATACAAAAATATATCTTTATTTATGCTCGATAAGAAGAGTCATATTTATTGAGCAACACTCTATATAATCGAATCATAAGATATTTGCTTTTTAATAAACCGATTTTTCGTCACATATTCTTATACGAATCTATTTTGTGCTCGTTATATATCCCTGAACGGAAAAACGATGCGCGAATCTATCTTATGTAATTCAGCATTTGAAAATGGGTTGCACAGTTCACTGGAGTTATTTTCTAGCTTCTTCGGGTGGAAGCTACTGTCCGATCTTCGTTTCTGCGTATGAAAATCCGCGCCACGTGCTAAAACGTGTGATTGACAGACATTTACTTTCCACGTGAACGAAGACCCACAATGATTTTCAGTGATTTTACATATAATCGAAAATTGTTACGATTTGTTATAAATATTACTTCATTGTTCAACATTACATTATGCGTAATAAATATCTCCTAATTTTTTTGCCAATTCTCTTCATCTTAATTCTTTATAGTTTATTTTGACTAATTGTTTGATTGATATTTTTAGCTAATATTGTATAGTCAAAATATGCCTCTCCTTAACATGTCCCATTTGTTATTAAGTCTTTGTTTACATTATTAAGATACGTTAAATAAAAATTATATTGGAGAGGAAAAAAGTAATAATTATGCAGTTTGATTGTGTTGATAAAATTAAATTCTAAACAATAAATAACAAGAAGGGGCTACAAACCAGAATTTTACGCATTTCAAATTCTTTGAACATGCGTTTCGACCTTATTATTAGGTCATCCTCAGTGTATACATGTAGAAAAAAATTTAACAAAATTAATAAAATGATTAGATACAATTTCTACAGATTACATAAAATGTTGGTATTCCTTCATATCTATTTTTTGTCGTAACAATGTAATGTTTTCAGTCTTGTAATATTCTCAGCTACATTCTTCCATTATGTCGGTCGCAATTAGTCCATAATGATGATAAAAATATTTAAATATTATATGTTGAGTCATTCAATAAAAATGTATCAGCACACATTCTCAAATGCGAATATTTAACAAGAATATAAACCAGTAATTGAAACAATGAGTCAAATATTCACAAGAAGTAAATGCGATCAGAGTTAAAATTGAAACCAGTTTAATCAAAAATTACTTGTATTATATTATATGCATATAATGCATGTTCTAAGAATTTGAAATATATAAAAATCTGGTTTGTAACCCTTTCTTGTTATTTATTGTCTATTATTATTGAGCCATTATAAGATTATTTTAAAATTAAATTCTATTTGCACAGTTCGCAAATTGGAGATCCACGTATTTCTGTCACGTATTTGATAATTCTTATCAGCTTATTATGTGAGTTGTGTGTGAAAACTTCACCAATGTGAAAAGACAAATATAAATTTTCCCCACTTCTCTCTATCTTAATTCTTATAATATGTAATTTTTTATTATCTCAATTCTTACATTACGTAATTATTTTTTATTACCTGTTCGACCCAGAGGTTCGTTGTCATGACCTGATTCTTCAAATTCTGCAAGAGAATAATTTTGTGAGAATACATCGTTCTCCCATACTCTGAAAATATCGCAATATTCCGACATATCTCATGCTTTTTTATATAGATAGAGATAATTAAAAAGTGGATTATTATATGTACGCATCATTGGCATTCGCTATAACAATTTTTATCATGATGGAATGTAAAGTACTTAGCTAAAATTCGCGTTCAAATAACGTAAATAATAATGTTTAAAAATTCACTATTATTATATAAAAATATTTACTTTCCTTATAATTTAAATATTTAATTGTAATATTTAAATCCACAATTCTCGCTTATTTTTCTTCATATTATTTTACAAGTAATGTAAAAATGACTGCAAGAATATTATTGCTTACCACATCAATAAGCTGCGAGAGTTTCAGTTTTATTTTAACGGTAAGGTTGTCTGTGGCGTTGAACGATGGACGAACCAACTTGTTGTAATTCGATAAGAGATCGTCATATAATCGTTTTGCGTCTGGATTTCCTAAGCATCCTGGAAATATAGGAAAAGCATATCTTAAAATCGTTGGCTAAACGAAGAATTTATCGCACTGAACTAAATTTCCACATGTTACAATGTCGATTGTCTGTTTATAGAACAGAAGTTAAAGTTAAATTAACAGAAGGCAAACTCGAATCGAATGTAATGTCAAACTTATATGCGTTATATCACACAAGATGATAAATCATTGAATAAATTATTACGATATAAGTTCAAAGATGATTCATTTTTATTTTATTAATTAATTTAAAGAACTTTTCATTTACGATCTATTGAAGTTTCATTGCATTTTAATATGACTTTTCGTCACTTCTGTGAAATTTAGAGCTAATATTGATGACGGATAGACGGTCATCGATAGACGAAGCGAAAATAAGGATAGGAAGTTCCTGTCTATCCCTACTTATTATGTATGCGTATTATATACATATATACGATTATATGTACTCGTATATGCAGGAAGTAACGCGTTACTTGTTACACTGTTACTATTACTGTTTTTATAATATTTGGAAATGACTTTACAATTTTTCATGGCGATAACGATAATACTAGGGTTGGAACAGTATCATTTTTAAAAAGCAGTACTTCCTTATTTTTTTATTCGTTTCATAAGGAGATACTTTTTTTAATGAATAACGCCTAATGATAACAAGTTATTTTTCAAAAATAACTTTCCAATCCTGGCTTTATCGTCACAGTCATAAAAAATTGTAGTCATTATCAAATCGTCATTATAAAAAAATTACGGTAACGACATCAATTAGTAACGCGTTACATTCTATTTCTGTGTACATGTATGATAATATTAGACACAGAAATAGTAGCCCGCCATTTGGACCATATCAAACATGGCGATGAAGAGATGATAGTAACCGAATTCTATGAGAATAACACTCTTTTGTCTTGTTAATCTTAGCAACTCAATTGTTCGTTACAATCCTTAAATGTAGACTGAAAATTGAAATGTATTGTATTATAAAATGTTCAATTATCTCAAGTCTCTTGACAGTCTTGACTATGTCCTTAAGTGAAATAACCGGAAATTCGTTCGAAGTACAAATTTGCGAGACGCAAAAAATAATTGAGAGAAAATACGGAAATGTTCTTTCGTATTCATTCACATATACATATATTATCATGGCGCTAGTGAAATGTGCTTCCCAGGTCACGCTTTATGGTTCTAATATTAATACCGATTCGCAGCGTTGCCCACAGATCCACATTTTACTTTGAAATTGCAAATAAGTGGAGAACGGTTGGACGAGTATATCTGGTTCGTATCTTCCGGCCTATGTGTTAGTATTTATAATGACGGCAACACTTTATGCACTGCTGTATGGCAAAGGGTTAAATATGCGCAAAGCGAAATATACACGTTCACATGGGCACGCTCACATGGGCACGGATAATGGGAAAACTACGAAGCGGAATTGCCGAGCTGTCCTGTTACGTGGGCAAACTATCCACGGTTGTCTTCCTTTCTTTGATATTTGCTCTCGGGCGAAATATTTCCCGCTTTTCCTCTTCCCGCATCCATGTTTTCGCTTCGTCTATTTCTGACCGTCTGTCCGTCATTAATCAATATTAGCTCTAAATCTCGCAGAAGTGACGAAAAGGATTGTTTGTATGAATAAATCATTTAAATATGAGAAACGCCAATTACGATCAAAGTTAAGACATATATATTATTTAAAATAAATTTTTTATCTCAGAAATACGACTGCACGTTGATTACTTTCGATAAATTCAATTTACTTTTTTATTATGTGAAATCGCTAAAATTTATAATAAGTTTATTTTAAGATTGTGATCAAGAAAATGTTCTTTGTTAAACATAACTGTTACTTAAAAGGAAGAAAGGAAATTATTAATCACTTTTCTTAGAATTTTCAATAGAATAAAAGATATTTTTCCGTAGTATAAAAGTTCGTAATCATTCTTACAAATTTTTTCCGCGTATTATTGATTAAATCACCGACTTATTTTAGTACAAACTCCATAATTTGTCCATTTGCTTGGATTAAGGAAATTTTATTTTTCAACGTCGGATTGACGTCGATTATATATAAAGACGACCAAAACTTCCGCTTGCTCGAGGCGAATACGTGTCGATATTTTGTCATTATGATAGAGTCGTCGACGGATTCGGCTCACCGTTATATTATTTATTACGCTCGCGCATATCATTTTATTACCGTTTTACGAGTTTCTATCCGTTCAGACTAACACGTGCGTCGCCAGTGATTTTAATTTTAAAACTGAGCCATAGAAGTTCTTCCGGTCCGTACATCAGGAGACAGTCCCAGGAAATTGGATTCGAAACTAACTGGAAAGGTTATAGCCGCGGAACGAAGGGCTAAAATTGCCTGCGAGAATGTCAATAGTGATATTTCGGCATCCGATTTTCCTGTATTCCGTGTTTATTCTAATTTACCGCTTGAGATATCAGAGTAATCTTCAAGTACTAGTCATCAACGATGTGCTAACATTTATTGAAAATGTCACAACATGAAACTGGAAAAGACTTGTCAACAAACTTTTACAGCGCGTTGGCTTTTATGATTTAACTTTGACGGTATTAAAATTTTGTGACGAAATATCTATTAACGTAATGGAAAACTGTTTCTGACTTATAGAGTTATGCATTTACAATTTATTGATTTGATACATTTCTATGATTTAATAAATTTCAATGATATATATTTCGCGCGTTCTACGCTTAATATTTTATAATTAAATCGTATAGATTTTAAAGACATATCTGAATATAAAAATTTATTTAATTTAACATTGGAAAAATATTCTGATTAAAACCAATAAAAAGGGTTCAACAAGAATTACATTTTGATAACTGTTTCATGTCCAGTGTGTGACATTGTCAGATATCAACCATGTGGTTTATCTCATATCTATCTATATCTATCATATCTATATATCTATAATTTTATATTGATGTTGAGATTATGATAGAAATTCTATTTGATCTCATCAAAATGTTATTCTTATTATTAGTTCACCTTTTTATTAGTTCACAATCAGAACATTTTTCTCTGTGAAATTTCAATTGATACAAATATTGTATTATTTATTGAAATATCTGACAATCACACGTAACTATACATACATGTATATACGAACCGATGATTAATTCTCTAAACGGAATTGCACTTGAAGGTCTGATTCTGTAATCGTGTCATTTCCTCCGTTTAACAAACGTACTCGTGTACAATTTTTCCAATAAAAAAGAAGGAAGACGAAATGATGTTACGATCATCTCACGAGTGCACTCCACGTGCACAAGAACTCAGGTGCGCAAGAACGTTTAGAAATGCAATCGTAAATGCAGACAGCCAGTTATGTATGTCTATACTCACGAACCGCGATAATGTACGCATCTCATAGACCACAGCTGTATGCACGACAACATATATAACGACATGATCGTCCGTGTGGATTATAGCGACTTTGAACCCGCAAATACACTCATGGGACATGGAAAATGCTTTACGAACCTCAAGTAGATTTCGCATCCACGTGTACATTTACAATCGTTATTTGCGTTATATGCACGCAAGAGTGATATTCGTCTACATTTTGCATTTTGTGTATTTTTCCTCATAAAATGGAGAGAAATATCGACAAAAGATGTTTTTATGTATTTGTTAGAAATTTTTTATTTATTAGGAAGGGAAATATAGCACGCGCGCGACCTGATTAATTGTGTTTTATATATATATATATATATATATATATATATATATATATATATATATATAAATTGTACTATATTTATTTTTTTTAATC